CAGTGCTCCAAGGTGTGAAGACAACATGCCGGCGCGGAGTAGGGAATCAGTGGAGAGGTCTAGGGGGCTGGTCCCAGCCCCAAATACTAAGTGGATGCCTGCCCCTCCCCTAAGAAGAATGTATCTCAAAGGAAGGCACTGAATCTATAGCTTTGGGAGAAGGATATATCTGAATAGAGCACACATGAGCAGATGACGGGGGAGGAGGAGAGACTGGAGCACATCTTTTTTAGCCTTACTTTAGTGCAAAAAGTCAAGATTTTTCAATGATTTAAAAGCAATATACAATGAGTCAAAATGATTCAAGATAAAAGAAGACACTTGAGAGTGAGCTTCCAAAAGCTCATGGAAATATGGAACTGAAAGACAATGGAATTTTTCAGCAAACTTTTTGGAGCCCCCTCTCACTACATTACATTTAAAGCTGTGCAATAACAGAAAGAGCAATAACCTTTTCTTCCTTCATAGCTAGTTCCTCACATTCCCTCCTGAGAGAGTGGCTGGAAAAACCCACTACTTTGTGATTTTCCCCATGGTTCTCTCACTCTTTTCCCCCTTCTTGTCCTAAGTGACAGTTTTAGGCCTTACTGGAATTTTTACCTCCATTTATTCCAACCCACCAAAAAGAGACCACGCAAGACTCAGAAGATGTGATATAAATCTTAGAAAGCTGATGCAGAAGATAAAGCTCCTTGATGAGATAGTTTCAGAAATGACCCTTCTCACTGTATAATGGGACAAGCATATATCATACTGTATTTTATAAAATCTGAGAGATGTATGGTTCTAAAAAATGGAGATTATTTCCGCTTCAGAGAGATTTAAAAGAAAAGAAAACTAAGCCAAGTTCACAATACTGGAAGAAATTCTATATGAAAAGATAATGGATATAAATTTACAAGCGTGAAAGACATAGTTCCGGACTTCACCAAGATTAAAAAAAGTAAACAGACACACACATTGCTGTAAAAACACAGAAAAACAGAGATGTAAAGGTAGTTTTAAATTCAACCAGAGAGAGAGAGAAAAAGTTCCCAGAATGAAAATTGTCATCAACAGGGATGAAATCAAGACTATAATGGAATCACATGTCCAGAATACTAAGAAGAAAACAAAATTCTAAACCCATGCTAAAATGACCATTCAAGATTGGACAAAATAACATGAAAAATGTTATAAAACAAACAAATTGTTTAATATTCACAGCACTTTATTCTCACGGAAAGAAATACTGAAGGGTATTCTTGAATAAGAAAAAACTAATCTCAGAATAAAGGAGTGGGGAAATAAGAAACAGTAAAAGAAGATATCAATGAACATGATGATAAATCTTATCATTTTATTAGTGTAATTGGTTTAAAAAAAGAAAAAAAACCCTCACTGCTATTAAGTCAACTCTGACTAGCAGTGATCCTGTTAGTAATTGGTAGTTAGTAATATTTACTAATGCCTGATTATTTTTAAGTAAAAACAAGAACAGCCAATTTTTCTCTGTTTTTAAGTGCCCTGCAGTTGGTTCTGATTCAGTACAACAGAATGAAACATTGCCCTTCCTGTGTCATCCTCACAATTGTTATTTTTAAGCCCATTGTTGCAGCCCCTGGGTCAATCCATCTGGTTCAGGGTCTTCCTCTTTTTTGATGGCCCTCCACTTTACAAAGTACTTCTCCAGGGACTGGTCTTTCACGATAATATGTCAAGAGCACAAGAGACAAAATCTTGCCATTGTTCCTTCCAAGAAGTAATTCAGCTTTACTTCTTCCAAAAAAGATTTGTTAATTTTTCCACAGTCCAAGGAATAGTCAATATTCTTGTGTTAGTCTGGGTACTTTTGAGAAACAATTCCACAGAAACTCATGTATAAGAGAGAAAAAGGTTAAGTGCACATCAAGATAACATCCCAACCCAGTGCTGCCAAGCCCACAAGTCCAACATTAACCCATTAACCCATATGTCCAACACCAATCCACAAAGTCCTCCTCCAGCTCACAAAACACACACTATGATGCCGACTGCAGGGGGAAAGCCGAGACAGTGAATGTGTAAGAATCTCAGCGCTGGCAGGGGTCTCCACACAGCTGCTCCAGCACCCAGGGCTGCATCAGGGTAGGTCCATGTGGCTTCTCCTCAGGGATGTCTTGCAGGAAGTGAGCCTTGCCAGCTAAAGCAGGGAACTGGCTAAGGCAGTTGCACCCTGGTCCGACCATCAGAAAGCAAGAGACCCGAAAACTTCAAAGGCAAGGCTCACAGAGCCATTTATCACTCTACCCTTCAATTAACCCCACATTTATTGGCCAGGTTTGCACAATACCTCAATTCTTTGCCAAAAAATATACCTAATTCATGTGTAAAAATTTTCATTGTCCAACTTTTGTATGCATAATGACATGGCTCAAAATACCATAACTGAGTCAGGTGCATCTTGGTCCTCAACATATTTTTGCTGTTTCACATTTTAAAGAGGTCTTCTGCAGCAGATTTAGCTAACGTAATACATTGCTTGTTTTCTTGACTGCTGCTTCCATGAGTGTTGATTATGGATCCAAATAAAATTAAATATTTGACAACTTCACTATTTTCTCAAATTATTATGATGGTATCTATTGGTCCAGTTGTGAGAATTTTTTTTTCTTTATACTGTGGTGTAATCCATACTGAAATCTGTCATCTTTAATCTTCATCACTATGTGC